GTGTTTATTTATGTAGGTAAAAGTATCTTTAACAACCTGTTAAAATACATTAGAAATCAGGAAATAGCTTCTAATTTATTCAGTGTGTCCTTTACTATTATAAGACTTGTTATGTGAGAGAATAAACCCACACACCTGTGCTCCACCTGTGTGTCTCTGTATGAAACTATGGCTGATTGTCAAACTGTATTCTCAGTGAGTTTAAAGGGCTGATACAGTACATGGTTGAATGAAGGTGAACATAATTTCAGTTAATATGGTTTGAGTATTACTGCATCACAACAGAAACATTTGGTTGTTGATGGGTGCGGACAGTTAAACTGAGCACACACTGAAGACATGAACAACAGAAAAACCTGGTCATACAACTGTGGGTGAGTCAGACCCCGTCCCCCACGGTGCGTCCCCACCAACTTTCAGCACAAAGTTACACCCTTGCCGTGTCACATAGGCTATTGCAAGCTGCASAACTCAAAGTGTCGTCTGGGGCCACTTCTGCAGGAATTACCTAATTCTAATGAAGCCAGGTTAATGCAAAGTCAAGTACTATGTAACAAGATATTAAGCAATGGATTTGATGTCCATACCAGTTTTTAATGCAGGTCTGCTGGCACTGTATTGACAAGCTAATGAAGTAATTAGTAATTGCTGCTCTTAGTGCTTGCAAATAACCCAAAAATTTAGTGTGAGTAATATGTAATATAATATATTATATCAATATAATCCATCCAATGGTTTCTGAAACATTTTGCTAACAGACCCGCAGAGTTCGATTCTGTCTCCTGGTAAACACAGCTCCCGCTCAGTCCATCAGTGCTCAAAATTTAGTTTTGGGAATACTCTCAACTACAACCACAGCTAACGTTTTGCATCATATATGTAAAATTGACCGAGTGAAAGACAGTTTTTAATTTCCCAGTTTAGTTAGTTGTAGCGACCATCTTGACTTGAGTTGTTTTGACTTAGGTTGAGGGTAAGTTAATCAGTTKTAGATGTACACCTAGGGATTATTTCCTAAAAAATTTCCTTGGAATCCATCGAGCCATTTGTGAAACATTTTACTAACAGACAAGAGTTGCCTTCAGTAATTAATAGGGTTGGGCAATATTGGCAAAAATAATAATCACGATTAATTGTGGTATTTAGCCGATAACAATTAATTTGACAATTAATGCCCTGGAGTCCTTATGTCCTGGTCACATGACCAATTTAGTGGGAAAGATCTTCATAAAAATCTGTTCCAAACAGTCAAAATTACAGACTTCAAGCTATGCATCAATGTTTAAATTGTGTTGATAGATAAATAAATTACAGAACCTTTTTCTTTATGTCCATCGTATTTGAAGCGGAGAGGAGCACCGAGCGGACTCTGCCTGGTTGCATTAATCGTATTAATCGTCAAGTGCCAAAAAATAATTGATTAATGTTTTTCTGACGATTAATTGCACACGATACGATTATGCCCAACCTTAGTAATTAATAGCAAATACTTGGGTCAATCAGTGAGCAATTGAGCATGTATGCTGGAGATGACTCTCAGCTACTGCCGCACCAAATTTTGGCACTAATAATATCATAAAGTTGACTGAGTAAAGGGTTATATTTCTGTAAGGCTGCTTACTTCTGGTCAGACATCTTGAATGATTTAAGGGGCACATTCATGTATCCAATGACTTATGAGATATTTCGCTAACAATGCAGACAAACATTTATTGTACCTCCTCACTTTTAGGCAGCAGGTGATAAAAATAAATTAAACATAAGTACTCCTGATTTTTGTTGCAATAATGTAGCCTAATTCCCAATAATAATAATAATAATAATAATAATAATAATAATAATATTAAAAAACATGTTTGTGGTGCCAACAAGTGGCCAAAAGTTTTTTGTACTCCTACCAACACAGTCTGTCTTTGTAAGGCTGTCAAAAAGTATGACTCCCTGTGTACTATCACTTTAATAATACTACTGTGTATTAGCTGTGAGACATGTTTTTGTCCCACATAAACTACTTTAAATTCTCGCCAACAGTATTAACTTTCATGTAAACCCTCAAGAAGCAGAAACCTTCCTCTTTCTGTAACCGAAAGTTCGTCCATCATTAAGGGTGAGTTTGCCACCACCCTGGATGCTATCAGAGGAGTATTGTAATAATTTTAGTTTCTTGTTGCTCCAACAGGAAGACAAGCAGAGCCATAACAGTTCGCAGTGGTCGGTATTATCTGCAGCACACCGCGGTAACGACTGGAGCTACTCACCCAGAAGGGGAGCTCTGGTCCGCACAGCCGGTCCATCTCTTCACCGTGTGGAGGCGTGAGACCGGGAAACTACCGGAGGTGAGCTGTTTCTGCCCCAACTCGAGCCCCYGCTCTTGCTCGCGGGAGCGGCTTGTGTTCTTGTTGCTTTTTCGCGAACTGTCACATGCCAAGCAGGCAGGTACGCGCTGCGTTTGGAGAAGCCTCGGCTTGCCCCCTGACTGCGAGCCTTTCCTGCCGCAGGAAACCGACGGTCCCTTCCGCTCTGCCGAGGCGAGGAACGACGAAAAGTCATTCGGAGACAGCCAAGAAATACGGAGGAGGCTGCCTGGCTGCTGCTGACACTGGAAAGGAAAGCGGCCCCGATAAGCCCCGCCCTCTGGTGTTGTGYCGAGGTGTGTTCACCCGTTTATCTGCTACCTTCAAGGTGCGTGTCCCCTGGCGAAATTCACACATATTTGGACATAAAATAATACAAACATCAGGATATCACGAGGTAATAAGTCACTGTTGTATTTATTTCAATGTTGTCCTATTTTAGTTGTACTTTTATCATAAATGCACGTGTGTTAGCTTTTGTTTGTGGCTATACTGTATCTAGCATATTTTGAAAGCAAACCCTTTTTCATTAATGTACAATATTCTTTTTAAATAATTAAATGAATCATAATACTAAACAGAGTAAAAACGAATAAAAAATTATTAGATTCGTTTTCCCAATAGARTGGACAAAAATAGAGCCAAGTTTATATTTCTAACATGTTTTCTTTTTATTTCCTCTTTTTCGGCTGCTTAAAAAAACAGCTGGGTGAACACATTTCGACACAACACTTACCCTTGCTCTAAAGAGCATCATGACTCAACAATATTTGTCTCCTGCTGAGTCATGCCAGCAAGGTTTGGTGGCGAGGAAAACCAGTACCCTTTTCTTGCTTCATTTTTTTATTTAAAGGCTGATTAACATGCAACATTTCTTTCTTTTTAAGTGTTTCTTAATGCCAAAAGTTTGGAATGTTTTTGTTACAAGTTTAGTTTTGTAGCATGTCAGATTCTATTTTATAAAAATGAAACGAATAAAAAGAATGATCTCAAAGAGTGTGCCAGTTTGAACGCTCCTTAATCCATTTTGAACCGTCTTTGTTAATGTTGTGACTGCATTGTTCAGCTCTGTGAGCTTCCATTGTGTTGTTTGAAAAGTATTGTATAAATAAGGTTGAACTGAWCTGCGCTGAACCCTGCAAACCAATTAAACAGGTAAAGGATTATGGTTGAGATTATTATTCGTCATCACAAACACGTAACACACAGTAAAAAGGTGCATGGCTGTCTTCAAACTAAGAAGGTAAAGAACTGTGTCATCCTGCAGCAGATGGTGGGGGCCCCACGGCACTGATCACAACATCATGGTGTCTGTGTGGGATTACAGTCACAGAGGACACTGGGGCAGCCTTAATCCACAGAGGAAAACCTTTTCAAGTTGCWATTAATGTCCTACTTTAAAACACTGTACGCTGCACTTTTAAGAACATGTGCTACTTGTTAAAAGTAGAACATATTAAATGGTTTAACCTTTTTATGTTAATTGTTATGGCACCACTTGACAGCTCTCTTGAACAAAGAATCAAGTCTTTTTCAYCCCCTAATCTAACAAAGACCCACCCACACAGTGGGCCCTGTTCATTTAGACACTATCTACACTTGAAAACCTGCTTGGATGAAAAGAATTATTCTGGAAGGTGTGTCAAAGCACCCCCGTCTACCTTTCAAACCCATTATGCAAGAAATTCCTGATGTTCTGTGTCCCTGCTGGGTTTTAAAACATGGTAATAGTAGTTGTAAGCCAATAATACTTAATAAAGCAAAGGTAAACATAAGAACAATGTATTATTCACAGGTGTCTAATTAGAATAATTTAGTTATTTAGGGCAGGGGTTCCCATTTGTAGATTTAAACTGGAACACCCCCTCCAGTGGTAATATTCCACTCATACAGTGGAAGAAAAGCGACTGCCCCCAGTTTCGATTTCAAGATGGCGGCTACTTACAGCTTTAGAAAGTTAACTCCGTAACTTTTACTGTTAATTATTGTTCTTAATGTTTTTGTGCATGTTTAATCACTCGCACAAGTAGTGTGTTTTCTGTGCAGTACTGTACTTATTAAAATCAATGTTTATTTGCATGACATAGAGCTCTCTTTTTGTCATTGTTTATATTGTAGCAGTGTTATAGCTAGGTTAGTGGCAGTAATAAAATCGCCTGTCGGCTAACTGGAATGCAGTTTCATATGGTTTGTTGSGAAATGATTATGTCACTACCATTTACCAGTTCCGGGAATACGATGTCAGTATAACGCACTGAGTCATCCTCTGTCTTGWCAGTTGTGGATTGTTCTCTATTAGAGGCAGTTATGATTGCGCTTCTCTGAGTGTTTGTGAGACGTTTCTTCATAAGCACCTTTTCAGCTGCTATGTCAGCACTTTGKTTTTGGAAATAAACTTTTTTCCTTTACCTTTGAGCCTCCTCGGGTCTGGTCTGCATTTGGTTTCAAACTACTACGTTCATGATATAACAATAGTACAAATGTCACATGCATTTGAGCATGAAATACAGTATGTTACTGCCCTGTGTGTTGGTTTAACAAACACACACACACACACAACCATATATATAGTATACACACACACACATAACCGCACACACACAAACACTCACACATATATAAAACATGTTTTAAATAGCAGTTTTATTACATTTGGGTAAGTATGCAACGCTATGTGRCCCTCTGGTATTGCCAACAAAAAGTTGTGGCCCCTTCCATCATTTAAGTTGCCCATCCCTGATGWAGACAAAGGTATTTGCACAGACTTAACCATCACACCAAGAGGAACTGTTTGATGTCTCCTTCTGTAGAGCATTTATGAGGTCAATTATGGGTGATGGACAAGAAAATCTGGCTCACTGTCTTTGTCCCAGTTCTTCCCAGAGGTGCTCACTGTCTTTGTCCCAGTTCTTCCCAGAGGTGTTTGATGGGGTGGAGGTCAGGGTTCTGTGGGTTACTCAAGTCCTTCCACACCCAACTCATGTCTTTTTAGTCCCTACGTTGGAAAAAAAGGTTTTCTTCCTTTTTAAATATTTTGTGTTTCTCAGGCATATATTTAAATTCTATACCATAATAAAGTAACTATGTCACCTTCAGTTATTAAAATTTTGTTTATATGTTTAAATAAAAAATAAACAACTTCTCATTATATCTGTTTCTAAACACCTTGAAATTGGCCTCTGTCTCTTTAAGAACCTCCTTCTGCTTCTGTCCCGCCCATTTCAGCACAGATGGGTGGGGGAGGTGTGCTCTGTAATGAGGAAGCTCTGCTTGGAGACACAGCCCAGAGGAGGAGCTGGTCTCAAAAGGCGGTTCTASTCCTAACCGGTCGTTTTTGCTCCCCTGCCCAGCTGCCTCAGGACACCACAGGATTTCTCAAACATGCATGAATGAGTCAAAGCAAGACTTTGATGAGCGGATAACATTATAACATGATATTAAACTCAAAAAGTTTATTTTACAGGATATTTCCCCTTTAAGTGTTGCCATAAAGCTGGAAGCATTAAGGGTGGTCCGTAATACTTTAAAAAGATGTGGTAAGTCAGATCTTGCTCTTGTTATTTAAGAAGTATTTTTCTCATTGATTATTCWTACTCAGAAGAGAAATTTTTGCTTTCTAATAATGTCACTAAAGCGGTTGATCATGAAATTTGCTGCGGGGATGAAACCTCCCAAASCATCTTATTGCAAAAGTGGCATCAGTTCACACTTAAAGTCACTGAACTCTTAGGTTTGTATTAAAAAGTTCTCACCCAGTTAATAAACATTTCTCCAAAATCAAATTTTGTGGATACCTTATAGGGCCATTCYAGCCTATCAAAGGCTTTTTTAGAGTCTAACGTCACATGGGTCAGATCTTAATTTTGCTAAATTGATTATATTAAAGAATCTACAAAAGTTGTTGGCTGGCGTTTTGGAATAAAAACACTCTGATCAGGATTAATTGTCTTTGATAAAACTGGATTAAGTCTGTTTGCCAATACTTTAGAGATCAATTTAAAATCTGAATTTAATAGTGAAATGGGTCTATAAGAGGTACATTTTAATGGATCTTTAACTTTTTTAAATATTTCTGTAATTATGGCTGCCTAAAAGGATTCTGGAAGTGTATATGTTTTAAACAAAATATTTATTGCATCCATAATTARTGTAATAAGCAAATCTTGAAACTTTATAAAATTCTGGAGGAAAACCTTCTTCCCCTGGAGATTTATTAGACTGAAGTGAACTCAGTGCTTTTATAACTTCTTTAGTAAAGGKGATCTTTTCCCCATTTTCTTTTATTTTCTTTAGTTAAGTTTTGATAAGAAATCACTGAWATGAGTCAAATTACTGAGCAATTACGTGACATTTATTTCTGCTGTACAGAATCATAGAGCGGATGTTTTCCGCATGTAATTTTTCCCCATGCATAAATATGTCATCATGAAGTAATGATCGTTTTCTCGAGGTAACGTGTTAATTTACTGATGGGTTTCTTAAGATAATGAGTTATGGTTTTCCTCTTGTGTATCATTCAGTAACCATGAAGACAGCCTAGCCCCCTCAGCTCACCTCTGAGGAAGTTTATTAAATCAGTGGGATCAGTGTAAACGCCTGCTGAGCTGCAGTCGGGCCAGCCGTCTCTTTAAAKGACGAGGGCTGCTATGAAAGTCATCTGTACAAAACAAACTGCAGTTTCAGCCTGTGATCAATGCGTTGATCAATGTCAGGTTGAGTTTGTTCTTGGCGAGGTTTTAAGAACACTGAGAAACTGATCCTGTTCATTCAAGAAAAGATAATATCCCATTATCTCGAGAAAACGGGCATCTTTATTTTATGATAACGACATAATCAACTCGTTACCTCGAGAAAACCATGGGAAAAATTAAAAGCGGAAAATGTCTGCTCTTGGCAGCTGGGTTATGAAAGAGGTCCAATTTCAGTTTGAATGACGTTAATAATTCATTCTGCCTTCAGTTGCCAGGAAAAACTTTATGTCCCTTCTCTCCCAACTCATCATACTTTTGTCTTTAAAATGACTCTTTCAAATTTGTAAGTATTTGATGTGTTGTATTGAAGTTTTGAAGTTTTTTGGTTGTTATCTTCAACTAAGATCATTTTTGAGGGATATCTTGAATAACACTGACTTTACAAAAACTTACTGAAATAGAGAAACTGCTGTATGAGAGTGGATCACACAGGTTTATTTCTAGAGTATAATTTTTGTTACTATCTGAATGTCCTAAACCAGCTTAGATCTAAGGAGAGGTGGGAATCAGATTTAAATACAACGATGTAGCTTATTGTCTACTATCTATGCACAGTACAGACTTAGTTGTAATTTTCTTCACCAGCTACATTTGACCTCATCAAATAAGAGCTTCTGA